AAAACAGATAAACAAATAAATAAAAGATAATTATTGTTATTTCTAAAAAAACAATTGAAGAAAATTGTTGATTATACTAAAACATTAAAACAGATTTTTTTATCTTAGAATTAATGCACAATGTAGTCTTCTGAGATTTTTGCTAAATGTATCATTTGACCTAATAAAGTCTAATTGAAATGTACTAAAAAAAAATAAACAAATGTTTGAAAAAATTTTTTTTTGTTATTGTCATTACTAATATGACACAAATTTATTCTCGTTGGACAATATTCATGGACCGTTTCTATTTATGTAAATAATCTGCACCAACAAGACGGGTTTTATTTCACCAATAACGTTTTACAGTGTATTTTAAACTTTTGTTTATTATAACCTATCAAGCTTTTCCTTAAAAAAGGTTATCAAGACATTTTTCAAAAAATATCATTTTAAAATAAATATTTCATATTAATATATATGATATGCTTGATTCTTATTTTATTTTATTTTTTTTTTCTAAATCAATAGCATGGATGCTAGCATCAGTATTTTTTGATCAATACAATGGTTTCATAGAACTTATGATGTCAAAAACAGCAAGAAAAAAATAAAAAAAATTATAAGGGTGATTCATAATCTATGAAGAACCAATAACCCACTCCATGAAGATGCCTTATTATGCATACATAGACCTCCAATTTTCGCCCAATAGACTAGATTGAAAGGCAGGGGTGTGTGATACAAAATCTAAAACTTTCTTTAATTTCCAGTTGTGTATCTCATCTTCCTCCATTACATCAAATACATCTTGCATGGGTGCAATGTCATTCTCAGGAAGTAGATCAAAAGGATCAATCTTTGGTCTTTTCAATATCCGATTCAGTCCCTCAACCTCCTTATCCCTTGATAGTGCTTCATCATCCTTTCTTGTATGAAAAATAGCATCCCGAAAGTTATATCTTGTTTTGTAAGGAGAATCCTGCATAAAAGTATTGGCAGAAGTAGCAGCATCAGCTTCTGATGCAATTGACTCAATTATGGTGATTGCCTCCTTGAGATCAAATGTGCAATCTATAATTGTGCCAATTTCAAACCAGAAAAATTTCCAGATTTGACCTAAGTCTGTAAGTACTATTACTGGTGGATATTCTGAATAAATACTAGCTGATATAAGTTCTAGCATGGCCTGAAGAGCATCATTATCACAAACCACTTTTTTATGTTCTAAACCAACCCGCAATCCCCCAGCAATATTTCCAGATTTAATATTTTTTTCATCAATGATAGCTGTATCTAATGTCCCATTAATATTATAACGTAAGCTTGCATTGGTAGTTGAGAGAAGGTTCATAATGGATGAGGTTTTGTAAAATTGGACATTTGGAGAAAGGATTATGTTTCTATTGAGCCATTCCATGTATGATGTTGACTGTGCATCTTCTTTACTATCATCCCACTTGAAAGGTTCAACATGTTTTGAAGTCGGAATCACAGAGAAAGTAATTGTTCTTCTAACAAGTCCAAGATCATCAAACAATTCTCTGAATTGCTTTTGAGTAACTCTCGAGATTGATATAGTACCTTTCTTATCCTCCTTCATGGCTAAAAAACATATATAGAATGAGAGATTGTAAAATAAAAATAATGGGGTGCATTCATTAAAGCTGTCTTACCATCCAACTTTCCTGATATTTCTATAAGTTTATTTTCAATATCTAAGAACAAATTAATGGACAATGTCATCAATGAATTAAGTAAATAAACAAAATGGAATGAACGAAAATAATTTTTTTTTTTTTTTTATGCAATTTGTTCATTACCTTTTCCTCCTCTACCAAATTCTATTAATGCATCTTGTAATTTTTTCACCTGTTCCTCCCAACCATCTCTTCTTTCTTTTAATTTCTTCTTCTCTTCTTTCAACTCATCTACCCATCCTTCCCACTCTTTCTTCTGTCCGTCATCATCATATTCTCTCTTAACCAACTTCATCCTCAACTCGTTCAACAACTTCCCTTTATACTCTCCCTCCTCCCAATCATTCAAATCTTTCTTTGCCTCGTCCAACCTTGCTTTTGTGTCATTTAATTCTTTTAATATTTCTTCTTTTGTTGTCATTTTTTTTAAAATTAAAAAGTTTATTGATTTAGATCGTAATTGTTATAATTTATGCATGATTTCGACCAATGATAAATTAATGGGCACATGACTTGGAATTCATTTACGACAAAAGAAATTTATTTTTATTTTTATTTTTATTCAACTAATAATAGAAAAATACATAAATAATATAAGTTAAAGAATTGTCAGAGCACTTGCATTGGAGGAAAATACTTGGACCCAAAGCCATTTGTAAGTATTACC